CAAGGCTGGAGCAGCTCCTCAGCAGGAACAAAATAGGTCAAACAAAAAACTCTCACTGAAGCTTCTTGGTTCAAAGTGACTTTTTGGAACTTTCCCAGGTTGTAACGTTCTCCTTGCCCCTTTCAGACTGTCCAAAATGCAAATTTCGCTTCTTCCTGGCCAGAGGAGGCTGTTTGCATTTCAAATGCACTCAGTGCCAGCACGAATTCTGCGGAGGCTGCAGTCAGCCATTTAAACAAGGCTCTGTAAGTTTAGTTCTCTCAGCAGTCGTCATTATAGTTACCACAGAGCTCTGTGTCAATTAATGAGCATCTGTTGTCCTTGCAGGCCTGTACTTTTTCTACTGAGTGCGGAGCTAAGGGGTTACATGCTCATCACCCTCGAAACTGTCTATATCATCTGAGAGACTGGAGTGTTCCAAGACTACGGACCCTGCTGCAGGTTATACATGTCTTTACTGTGATCTAGCATAAACTAGAAGCCACTACCCTGCCATGGTTATACTGGCTAAACTACTTTTATTTATCTTTTCAGGTCTATGGGGTATCACATCCCCTCATGTTCAGCCCCAAAAATATAGCAGGGAGACACTCTAAAGGTACATCATTTGGTTTGAGATATGCCTACATGTGAATATTGTATGTTCAGATTGATGATGCACCAGAATTTTGGCACCTGAAAATTTGTCCAAAGCAGCAATTTTTAGTTTCGGTTTGGAGCACTGAAATCATTGGCAGAAACAGTGATGTTTAATTAGCGTTTCTCTGATAGCGTTTTGACTGTGTTCAATTTTGGTGTTTCGGCAACAAAATCAATTTAGTTGCATCACTAGTTTAGATGTGTCAAAGTACCCTTGAAATATAGTACATGTTCAAATGTGTCCCTTGTAGGTATTTGTGGTGTAATGGAGTTCCAAGAATCAGGAGCTGTGAAGGAGGAGCCATGTGGACGAACAGCTCTCCCAGAGTACAGTGGTTACTGCACGTAAGGAACACTTGCTCTGATAATTCTTTATCATTCATCGAGGTCTGACTTTCCCGGAGAAGTGTCACCTCTCTCTGCGTCTGTTCTGTGCAGTGAGCGGCAGAGAAGCACAGCAGCCGACCTTAGCGCAGCGTTTCCTAGCACCTGTTAAAAATACCGTGATATACATTTTTGGTCATACCGCCCAGCACTAATTCATGTTGTTCCATATATACAACAAACTCAAGAGATTTTCTCAAATGTTATGCTTACTTTTAGGGTACATTATAAAGAGTGTCTGGTGGAGTTAATAAACAACAATGCACTGGACCCTGTGGTACTGTTAGATGGTGCAGAGTTGAAGGCAGAAATGGACCGCTGGAAAGTGCCAGTCCCAGAAAAACAACCTTTAGAACCAGATCAAAGGTACGAGGACAGACTTCGGCAGGTTAGTGCATACTGACATCAAATCATTCATGTTACTATGTAGAATAAAGCATAATTTGTGCACTTAATAGTTAAACTGACATATCAGGTCATTTGAGATAATTACATTCACATTTTTGCAGTTTATTTATTAAGGGAGTGAACTAATTGAAAATTATAATGCCATAGAATGAAAATTTTTGTGGTTTTCATTGCTCCACCGTAAAGGTGCATTCATTCTGCTGTTGTCCTACTTTAATTACTGACAACTACTTCCACAACGCTGCACTGCCATCTATCAACGTGGATCGGCATGAGTTTTGTGTACATTACACTGGTACTGGTTTTATAGAACGTTCTCAGGGATTAAAGTTCTCCGTCGCTACGACGGATTTCCGTTAATTGCAGCGAGTCTACGGCGGATTTCCATCAATTGGAAAAAATGAGGGGAAAAGAAACATTTAGCGCATTGTTGTTGTTGTTGTTCTGCCCAAAAATCATCCCCGCCACGGCTGCAGCTTCTCAGTGACAACATAGTGATGCCGCTCGCATTATTCACTGTCGGGTTATTAGCAGAGAACACAGAGCAGAACTTGAATTTCGGTGCGGGATTGCGGCTATTAATAACAATTCTACTCATTCCCGCAGGTTCTGCGCTTATAACACGATGACAGAAGACGGAACGTATCATTTCATTTGCACGTGCTTTTGAGTCTTGAGAACTCACTCGTGCGCTCTCATTTTCTGTGCGCCCACAGATCGCGATAAGGAGAGTGACAACTTTTAATAGTTATTAAGGGAGTTTGCAAATGGAATATTGATTTAATACAACAGTTCAATAAACAAGTACTGCCTGATTTTGCTTTATTTCTTCAACGAAAATAGTTCAAGCCGCTGCACATCTCTAAAAGCAAACACAGCTGAGTTTCATTCATTCAATGAAAGTGCGTTTTTGAACGAATCTAGTGAGTCAGTGATTCATGATTACCCATTCATAAAGACAGTCTCTTGCTTCATTCCTGAATGAATCAGCCGTTCGAACTAATGAATTGAATGAATTTAATCTCCACATTAATGTATGAATTTAATTGCACTCATGCCACCTCTGAGCCTCATTAAACGTCTGAAAATGTCTGAAAAAAAGCCACTTTTGTGTTCTTCTGTGCCACCTCTGAAGTACAAATTATTTTTTATTAATACTAATTTCATATGATTGGTCATTTATTTGTCTTATTCTACTTCTTATTATATTGTTTTAAATAGAAATTTTAAAAAGCTTATAAACATACATTTTTGAATTTGACAGATGAAAATAATGCCATTACAAAGGTAAAAAGAAAATACCCCTGTGAGTCACTTTAAGGAGTCAAATGTCACCTCATATTAGAAAGGATCATTTTTGATCAGAATTTGATTATTGATCAGAAGGTGCTCCTACATTTTTTAAATTAGGAGGACAAGAGCTCCTAAAAAGAAAAGTAAGCATAGAGCCATGTGTAACAGTATATTAGATCCGTGCATGAGGTCTTAAAGAGACAGCAGCCTAAATAAACCTCCTTCTGCCTTTCATTATACAGTGAAGACTAACCAGTGTTATTTTACAGTAGAATAGATTATAGTTAGACCTAACTGAAAAAAATTAATGTACTGTTAATTGAATTTGTATCTTGTTATTGTTTGTGCTATTGATTGTCATTCATTTATTTGTTCTTATTTTATTATTTACTATTTATTTTTTTTGTTAAAATAAATTCAATTCTAAGTGCACCTGATTCTTGGGTGCAGAGGGGAGGAGAAGTGGTCCATGAGAAATAGTCCTGCCACCACAGCTGGAAAAAAATCCTAGGAAACACTGCATACACTTTAAATAAATTGAAAAATGCCATTACAAAGGTAAAAAGAAAATGCCCCTGTAAATACCTTTGAGTCAAATGTCACTTCATATTAGGAAGGCAAATTTTTTATCAGATTTTTTTATTATTGATCAGAAGGTGCTCCTAAATTTTTTAAACTAGGAGGACAATCGCTCCTAATTACAAGAAAAAACTGCTCTTAAACTGGGTGTGACAGGTATGGCTGTGGAATGGTGTTTGGCTGAGGAAAATTTTCAAAAAAAATTTTTTGCTTTAACCCCTGCGTTCTACACAATAATTACTTACCTGTCCAGCACAAAAAAACAACTTTGGCATCACTACTTTTTCATCAGATCTTTTCAACTTGTGTATGCCGTACCAATTTTTAAACTTTTTTTTTTTTTTTTTGTGGCTTCAAAACTTTTTTACCGCTGCAGAAGTACCAATTATTCCGTTGTCTCCACTGATAAAGCACAATAATAAATGTGTTTGTTTTTCTAATTTATGCTCTTCGCATCACCAAACAACACTGCGCTACAAGTGAAAAACTACAGGTTACATAATTTCAACATGGTGAAATAACAGGAGGGCGAGAACCGCACCTTTAAGATGATTACACATTTTAATTTGAAACACTTAATACATTTATAATTATTTTAAGAATTAAAATTGTATTATTTGTTATTCTACCTAACAGTATTTGTTTGCAAAGTCTTAGAATCAATCAAATCAATACAATCATAAATACATAAAAGCTCACACTGTGATATTGCAATTATGTGTATGACAATTAAATTGTAACTGCCCTTTTTCAAATAAAGTGTTGCATCCTTTTAGATCTTAAAAGAGAGGGTTAGTCTGACCAGCGGTGCGGCTCCTGGATTAAAGGCAGCTGCTCCTCCCACACCGTCCCCCTCTTCTCCTCCTGCGGCTGGAGCTCCGTGGTACTCCATCTTGAGCCGGGCCGTTTCTGAGGACTCCCAGCAACTACTGCTGCTGACTGATTGAAGAGCATATCAGAGCACATGGACTTTATATGCAATTCTGCTGTCACTATTAACATTAACGGAGTGACAACTCTGGGTCCAGCGAAATTGTTTTTTCAATAGGCTACATTATTATAAAAAAAGAAAGTGTTTCTTACCCATTAAAGGGGTCATATGATGCTGCTAAAAAGAACATTATTTGGTGTAATGAAATGTGTTTATGGTTCAAAAAATGATTTTTACAAAGCTCATCGGTCTGAAAAGTGAGGTGTGCTCTGATTGGCCAGCTATCCAGTGTGTTGTGATTGGCCGAATACCTCAATAGTTTCGCTTTCACAACGAATCACACAGTGCCTTCACGACATGGCGGCAGCGGCAACAACAATACTACAGCGAGAATAAAAGTTACGCCGCCTTTCTTTGCATGAACATTTGGGCGGCGTTATGCAAATCTTCCCACATTGTGACATAGACATGTGGGGGCGTGTTAGAACGAGCCGTTTTAGGTAGGTGTGGTTGACTTCACTTTTTTAAAGAATATCTCTTTGAGATTTGAGACTTTAGTCTTTGCAACTTTACAGATCTTATTTATGCACCAAGAGCTTGTAACACTCCCAAGAGAAAGGAAAAATTTTAATCGCATCATATGACCCCTTTAATGTAATGCCAGAGGGAAATTATGCTTAAGAATGAGCAGAGCAACCGGCAATGATGCAAGACTTTTATCCATTTTTACAATATGATCACTGAAGTTTCTGTATCATGCGTAATATAGCCACTACACATAAGCTTACTTCTGTTAAAGCTTGTGGCTTTCAAAACTACTCAAGTTCTCTAATTGTTGGCAGTGAGGATCTACTCGAACTTGTTCTAACTGTTTTATATTAATTGTGTATTAAATCAGCTTTATACAGTATATGCATTATACTGAGAACAAGTTTGCACTTTTGGCCCTTGTGAAGTGGGTATTAGCATGATCCATAAGAGGTGTGAGAGAGGATATGTGTTGCTGATATGATTATCTTACTGTGTGAATAACTGCGAATATAAAACATTTATTGTCTAATTTCTTTGTTTACAAAAGAGCAAACCAGTTAAAACCAAGCCTGTCAAGTTTTTGTGTGTATTTTCAGCCGCCAGGAATATTTGTGCTTTTGTTTTGTATTTCAAGTTATTTGGCTGAGCATTGTTTCAACTGAGCTGGCATTAGGACTCTTTTAAAGTATCCCTGCCTGTCTGTGTTTAGGCGCTCCAGACAGCAGCTCTTTCTGCAGGTTAAATCTTTATGCTAAGGTGATTCATTTACTTAACTGATTAATTCAAGAACGACTGTGTGGGTGCTCGAAATTTAGTGTTGCCAATAAAGCAACCTTTGTTCCTAAAAAGTGTCTAGCAACAAACTTAGCGACTTCTTGGACAAACCTTATCTAGTGTCAGAGACTCACCTGTACTGCCCAACGACCATGTTTTATAACCTAAGTGATAATTTTACAAATATAGCCTAGATCACAGCATTAGCATTGTCTTTATCTGATGTGTATGGTGATTTTTTTTTCAGACGACGTCTCACTTCGAAATCAGGATTTTAGTGCAGAGCAGCAGCTTGGAAGTGACAGCTGGTTTATTGGGAATTTGGCTGTATTAAAATACAGTAGGATATGTTAGCAAAGGAGAGAAGCAGAAACCTTACTTCCTTCGGCGGAGTAAAAATGGACAAATATTGTGTCTCAGAGGTAAGTTACTCATTATTAACTTATTGTTTTTGAACTTTTGTATGTTACTAATAAAAAACCTTACAGTTGAATGACAATTAACATTGACTTTCAGTAGCTCAACGCGGGAAAATGTAATTTACCGTTTGCACATAGCTTTAAACATTACTATAATACATTTTTCAATATCGGGAGACAAAAATCATTTACACAATATAAAAGATGGCAGAGAAATTAAACATTGATACATTATTTCAAATGTAATGTACCAGACTTCTATAGCACAGGGGCTTTTCTTTAAAACAAGGTTTATTTGATAGGGTCTACGGGTTCATCATCTCTAACAGCTGGAAATGCCTCAATCTCTTTAATGATTCTTTCTGCAATTATGTTGTTATTAGCTGCCAAAACTCTTCTAGACATCAGATCCATCGGTCCACCTGAGGACATTTTTTAAAGGAAAAAAATAAAAAGTTAATACACAACAATCATATTCAAATTCAATAAAATTAAAAGTAATTTCTTAAATATTACACATATTTTGGAAAAACAAATCACTGACAAAATTTGAGAAATTATATTGGTATAATAGTGTTATTATTAACTAAAACTGAAATTATTAAAAATTGTCATTTGAAATAAATCTGAAACAAAATAAAAAATAAATATTAGTTGAAGAAACTTAAAAAGTTATAAATGTTGCCTTGGCACTAACTAACATAAAATAAGTTTAAAGTGAAGTACTAAAATTACTGAAATTAAAATAAATAAAAGCTAAAAATAATATTTAAAAAATAATAAAAATGACAGAAGCACATAACAACATTACTAAAACCTAAATTTAAAATTAAAACTCAAATATATAAAAATAAAAGCTGACTAATACTAAAATAACACTCGTTAAAATGATGTAACAACTTCCAAGAGCTCTCTTTACCTTCGACATCCATGAGAACTCCTCCTGCTTCTGAGACTATGACTGCTGCAGCTGCCACATCCCAACAGTGGATCCCAATCTCATAATAGGCCTCGACACAACCAGATGCTACCAAGCACATGTTAATGGCAGCAGATCCAACACCACGTATTCTTAAAAAAAAATTACATTTATATTCAAGAGATATTTGTTAATGCACATTACAGTATAATTGTCAAGTACAAGTTGATAGACAATTGATTATCTGGTGTTAGATAATATTACATTTAAGGGCAAATCTGTTCCAGTAAGGCTGTGTGGAAGAAACCTGGCACATACCCGTGAACTGGCAGGCATAAGATTTTCCTCATGTTAGAGAAAATCTTGTCAACAGCATCAGGATCTCTATTAGAGCCAAACTCTGTAGCGATGATTGACTGGTTAATCTCTGTTAATGATATGGAAACAATTAGAGAGAATTAAGATGACTGCCAACAGACAAACACGGAATGCATCTGGATCAACATTCTCAGAAGAACGGTTACCTTTTTGGTTCGACACTTGCAGCGGCTGTCCGTTGCAAAATGCACCCTTCCCTTTTTGAGCCGTGTACATCTTGTCTTCTATGCAACTATAAACCACACCAAACTCTAACTGCAACAGAAGAATGATGAGTCTGACAGACGCTCTCGGCTTTCACCGTGGACGAAGTGGAGTCCAGCCCGGGGTCGTCACATGTGGTTGCCCCAAGCCCTCCGGACGCTCCTTCGTCAAATCCGCCGGCCGCCGCTCACTCTAGGCATCCGTGTGTGACGCTGTGTTTCGTTGTGAAAGCGAAACTACTTTGTTTGGCCTTCCAAAAGAGGACACGACTAGAAATCAGTGGTTAAGTTGTATTTACAACACTGTTCCAGAACAGTTTAACCCAAATATTCAGATGTGTGCAGCACATTTTATGGAGGACTGTTTCCTGATCCTGGTAGAGTAGACTACAATGCCGGCTGTTCTGACTCACAGACTGTAAGTACGTTTTTTATTTTTAAAGAATTTGCCACTGACGATTCAAATGCGAGTTTTGAGCAGTGTAGAGTAGCGCTTGTTGTTTGTCATTTCTCCGATTACAAATGCAGACATGGTTTTATGTTTAAGCGGCGCCATGCAATGCGTAAAAAGACCGTATAAGTCATTATAATCCGTAATTATGTCCCCAC